CCCACAGGTGCAGTATTTCAGAGCTGTATTTGGGGCAGCCTTCAGTCTTTTTTTTTGTTGTTGTTGTCAGAACTTGATAGACTGAATAAACCTTCTATTCGGAGGAAGATGGTAGACCCATACATCTGAGACAGACAGTGCACCACAGCAACCCCTTTTGCCACCCCACCGCATAGCATAGCTACCTACCATATTTGGAAGTCTTACGGACTCTTACCATGTGGTACTATTTTTTTTTTTTTTTAATTATTTTTTAGTGATACTATTATTTGGAACAGTCTTACCATGTGATATTTTTAATATTGTTGCTGCAGTGCAGGCCCACTTTTAAGTTAGCTTTTCCGATGGACCTAGTTTTTTCCCAGCCAATTTGTGCCAACACCCAACTACCAGAATTTGAAAATTCTCCAAATGCGCAGGGTAGCAGTGAGCTGAACGAAGTTTCTGTTATGCCCCGCCACTTGCAGGATTGTTCTTGTAACCGGGTGAAATTCTCTCTCTCTCTCTCTCTCTCTCTCTCTCTCTCTCTCTCTCTCTCTCTCTCTCTCTCTCTCTCTCTCTCTCTCTCTCTCTCTAGAATAATATCAAATTCAGTTTTTTCCTCAATCTCCTCTACCTCCTTGTTGTAGGATGTCGACTCAGCTAGTATTCCTCTTGAAGAAAGAAGATTATCAGAACTCATACCCAGTTCACCTTGAAGCTTATCTGTAAAAAAATTTACTTCTTGAAGAGTTAAAGATTTAATGGCATTTAATAATTGATTAAAATCGACTTCTCTCTCTCTCTCTCTCTCTCTCTCTCTCTCTCTCTCTCTCTCTCTGACCCCATTGCCAATTTCTCTCTCACACACTCATGGAGAAGTGGCCACGTGAACACAAGGGCAGGGACTCTCTCTCTCTCTCTCTCTCTCTCTCTCTCTCTCTCTCTCTCTCTCTCTCTCTCTCTCTCTCTCTCNCTCTCTCTCTCTCTCTCTCTCTCTCTCTCTCTCTCTCTCTCTCTCTCTCTCTCTCTCTCTCTCTCTCTCTCTCTCTCTCCACACACACACACAGTCATGGACACGCGTGGCCACGCGAAGGGCACGGAGGGAGAACTCAGGGGTCGCACTTGAGTATACCAAGTATGGTAACAATTTTGCACAACTAAGTAGAGGGGTATAAAGGCAATTTGTTCAATCTGTTCAATCCAATCCCATCCTGGGAAGTTGGAAATTTTCAACGTTTTTGGATAGTAGTATAAAAATTACGGTACAACAACAGTACCATAATTTAGCGGTCCTAAACTGTGCCCGGGCAAGCAACAATAACCGGCGCATGTTATTCGAGCATAGAGACAAGTTTGCCATCGATCATGGGCACAACAGAAAAGCCCAGTTAAAGTAAGGGTGTTCTGAAGAAAAACGATCATTACGGTGCTTGGACAAACCCCCCATTTCCCTGCTGTATTTTGAATGGTGCAGGCCTGCCATGTCTGTGTGCTTGTCCCTGCCTGACCGCACAATACGTACACACCCTTGTGCCTTTCAGCACACAGCACTTTTTCGCACCTTTTTTCTTTGTCCGTTCTCTTCGTGATTCCATTGCACACCTCTACACGTGGAACAGGAGGGGAGGGAAGGAAAAGGAAGGGAGGGAAGAAACAAGAGAGAGGGGGAGCAGACGGCATTGGGGAGGGGTGTGGGTTTGTTCCACTATGTAAAATTTGACTTGCCGGTGGGATAGGAACTGGACAGACGCTCCCCAGAATGGATAAGGAGCCAGAACTATACGGTTCTGTTTCACAAACAAAAAAAAAAAAAGAAGAAGAAGAAGAAGAAGAGGAAGACGAAGAAGAGAGAGGGGGGGAGCAAAAGCACAGGGAAATACATTGCCCACTCAGGGGTCGGGTCGTGGTGCACCGGACTGCCACATACTGGGGCATCGAAAAGACTTGCCGCCCAATGGTCGGGTTGTGCAGAAAATTGGCTGGAGGAGCAGGCATCGCCTACAGTTAGCAGCCACCACGACATCAGACCGGCCAAGCCCACTTCAGGTGTGGGCCATGCAAGCACAGCAGCCCATATCACAGATACAGTCACTGTGCCCAACAGACCAAGAGAAGGCTACCACATCCAAGGCAGGAAGCAGGCGCCTAATTTATTAATTTTATCCAATATAAAATTATAAATATTATAAAGACAAAAGTCAGAAAAGTTAAAATTGGAACGATACAGAGAAGATTAACATGTCCACTGAGTAGGGAAAAAAAAAAAAAAAAAAAAAAAAGTTTTGGTGCATACAGAGACAGCAAAGGCAACATGCCTTCCGCATGCTTGGCACCCTAGAGCCACAGGAACTCTTCCTGCATTTTTTTTCTCCTTTTTCTTTTTCTTTGTTAGAAGGGCGACGGCCTTGCGCGATATGGTCATCGAACTGACCAGCCCTAGGTGATTCAGAATTGTACTATTTTTTACTCGTCTGCTTCCAGCGGAGTTCGAACTCAGCACCTGCCACCTGGTCTGTATTTCAACAGTTTTAAGGGCGTATCAACTGAGATACGCCAGTTGGCAGCAACTCTTCCTTTTTCTTTATTTGGACGATTTCTCGATTTACGTGTGAGCACTTCTTGTGGGCTTGTTATTCTGCTGCCGGGCCAGGATAAGTCTGAACACAGGGAACTGTCATAAGAAGTGTGCGAACAAACACTTGCGAGGACCATACCCTCGCACTGCTCACTGCACGGAGTGCTGATCGCATGCTAACCAAACATCAGCTGCGTCATCACTGCGCATCCGAGAGCAGAGAGTGTCGTGGGCTCGTAATTGTGCTGCCCACCTAGCCTGTCTGTGGGCCGCCGGTGGTACGATCTGATCTGGCCACCGCTCGGCCTGAGGGTGATAACCTTGTCATATGCAGCACTGCAAGGGGTTAATGAGGCAGAGTCTGTTTTCCACACCCAGTTGCTGTATGCATTTGTCACGAGGCGAGGGTGGTGGCGGAGAGTTCCGCCACAGAGGCAACCCAAGGAAGTCCAGCATTGCATGTGGAGCATGATCTGAGACGCTGTGGCGGAGACCGACAGTGGAGATCGTGCACGCAGTAACGGCAGTACAGACACCTGCTGTCTATACGACTGTTTCGTGGAAACATTGGAGGCGCATAGCAAGTTGCTGGCAATGCCAGGCATGTCGAAAGCCAAAAGCAGACTCACCCTCGCAGTCGTCTATGCTATGACCTTCCCCTTAGGACTGCACACTCTCACAGTCATTTACAAAGGGGAGAGTGCCTTTGCAATGAACTTCCTTATCAGTGAGAGCTATTGTGGGCATTAACATCTGAAACTGCTGCCTCAACACGCGAAAGCATTGAGAGAGGCGATCAACAGTGTAAGGGAGCATGCATCCCTTTTCACGACGAGCTCGAGTCTTCGCAGCGAATTCTTCACTGCGACTCTATATCCCCTACAAGGAAGGGGGAAGAAGACGGGAAGGAGTGCAGTGCGGCAATCAGCAAAATACTAAAATATTAAAAATAGGCATTTATACAGTGTTACCGGCAGTCGATCTGGGCGAATCGTCCAGCCCACCCTCCCCAAAAATATTTCGGGCAATATCCTGCCCTCCTCTTGCTGAGTGCAGCAAAAGCCGACAGCCAGGGAGACAGGGGGCAGGGGAACTCTAAAGGTAAACATAAAAACACTAAAAAAATCCTTGGTCACCTTTTAAGCTGTCCAGTTTACCCATGCAGACCACCCACACCCAGCTTGGCTTGGGCATGCTTGGCCCAGAGCGCACGGGGGAGCAACAAATAACTCCCTCGGAGTGCCTGGTTAATCATGAACAGCCACACTACCAATCCTATCAAGATAAGTCAGCGATCACTTTGGCCAATAATAAAAACATGGGAAACAGTTGGCACATAGAGGACATGGGCAGAGGAGGAAAGCAGCTGCGTCCCTTGCACTACCATCATTTCCGTTTCCCCCGTTCTAATTTCATGTGCCTACCAAGATCTTTCACACGCACCTGAGACATTCAGCACCTCAAAAGATTTTTGCGCTGTGTTACCAGAGCCTCCCGGCCCGGGCTGGCCAGCCGGCCGGCCGGGCAACCCGCGCAAACTTACACGGGGGGTGGGTGACCCGCCCGGCGTACCCGGGCAACACCAAAAAGGAGGTCAATTTTTTGTAGTTTTTATTTTTTATTTTTTTGGCAGCGGGGCAATTTTGCACCCACAAAAGATGTTCGGTTTGCAACTCTGCATGACTTTTTTTTTTTCAGGTTTTTTTTTTTTTTTTTCCCCTCTGGGACTACCCAGGACCTTGACCGGGACGTTACCCAAACCTGGCCCGGCCGGGCCACCCCGGGCCATCTGACACATCCCGGGCCGCCCGGCTAGTAACACCAGGCCGCTCAAAAACCTAAAAGTCCAAAAGGGTGAATGCCACACCCCCGGTGATAGGCTGAACGCCTGGGTAATCAGGACGTCAGAGACATCAAGAGCAATAATACCCCCCCGTGCGGCCAAAGCATTCTGCAGAACCGCCCTTGCAGTTCTACAAGCCAAGTCCAGTCAGCACACTACCGTCTTCACCGGAATCGAACGCCCGGTCATTATCGCTGCCGGTCATCATCGCTGCAACTGGACCGGAAGTTGTGCCAAATACAGCTATAATGACCGCGCGTTCTATTCGGGTGAAGACGGTAGTAGTGATTACCTTCGGACAACAGTCCTGCAAGCGCTTTTACAAACGCCCCCAGAGTTCTGTAACTTAACAAACTAATCCAGATTTTCTTCAGCCAACAGTCCAAAAAGCGCCCCCCCCTTTCAGTCCACAGTTTTTTTATCCCTCATTTTCGAAAAGGTTTTGCAAGCGCTTTTGCAAATCAACAGTCCTGCCACTTCCTGCCATTCTACACAGTCATGTTAAAAACCGGTTGACCACGTTCCTTTATGAAGCAACAACAGTCCTCGTTCTCCTGCCGTCCTTTCCCGACAGACATTTGAGTGGAATTCTTTACGATCGAGGTCTAGTCAAATCTACGAAATGTGAGTGTGTGTCCAGGTCCTACTTCCTGGCCTGTCGGCGGCTCCTCTTTTACAGTCCTCCACTCGATCCAGCCGTATCTACCAAACCCGTGTGTCCAGGTCCAGATCCTACTTCCTGGCCTGATGGCAGCTAATCTCTTACAGTACTCAACCTTATCCTCACCCGTATGTTGTCGAAACATGAATGCCTGTCTTTTGTTCGGAGACCGCACCCCCGCTTTCCCCATATCCGTCCGCTCATTACCCCTCAAACTTCTCCTCACTTGTATGCTCACTTGTATGATATCGTAGCACGTCTGTCTTGTGTTCAGAGACTGCACCCCCAGTTTCATAACCGTCCGCTCATTACCGTCCCCGTTTTTTTTTTTTTTAATTGCATACTTTTTCACATGGATGCCTAAAATCTGCAGTCCAGAATTTAAACATCCCAACTCATGGACCTGACATCTTGATGTATGCCGAATTCAGCCAACAGCACAAGCACAAGTGGATATCAGTGAATGGCACAACGGCGCGAGCACAAGTGGATGTCTACTGACAAGTGCTGAATGGCACAACGGCGCGAGCACAAGTGGATGTCTACTGACAAGTGCTCTGTGTGAAAGAAAACACACACACACGCACACACACACACACACACACACACACACACCTCTTCTCCATGTCCCTACAGAGACAACAACACACCCACCTCGTACAGTGAAGTCAACACAAATCCATGAAGCTGCAGAAGTATAGATGATTCAGGACTTGACAATTCCAACAAAGTCAAATCAATGATGTGCTCCGGACTTTCTCCTTGCGATTTCAGAGTCCTCGACGAACCAATCAATCATCCTGACATCTACCAATTAACACGTCCTTCCTAACCTACTGCGTTCAAAAATCTATGTTCGTAGCCTACAAAGTCCGGGCAAACGAAACTAAACAAGACTTCACTCTGCCATCGAACGGCGCACAACAACCTGCCTCAGGAACCCCGACTCTTTCATCGGCCCACAACAAACCCCCCTCAGAAACTCTACTGCCCCACAACTAACACTGGATCTAACTCTGGCTCTACACATTATAGCGAGACACGGTTCTGCTTCTCGCCACCGCCCCCGGCTTCGGTCATCCCTGATGATTCCCTGTCTGCCTGTGGGTGCCTTGTCGACTTTGATTACTGACATCGCACACCCCATTAAACCCACATCACACCCTACTGCAAGTAAATGGCAGTAGTTTCACTTTCACAATGGATAAATAAACAGAAAAAGCTGAGACCTTCAGGTCGCTCGCGTCCTTCTCCCTCCCCCCCCCCAAACACCCACATGAGGGCCGTCAACCAAATCCCACCCGTAGTCATTGGCATTCGAGAGGGGAGCCAAATGACTGTGACTTTAAAACCCAAGCTGAACACTTAGGTAAAGCAAGCCTGCATTGCAAGATGGACCAGCCAGAACCTGTGCCCTTGTTCAAACTCCATCCTCCTTTTTCAGTTTATGTTTGCGTTTGACAATAGCAATTGGTTCTTCGTCTTCGTCCTCCTCATGGGGAAGACCATCTACAAGACGCACTCTCTCTGCCACTCCTTCCGATGCCCTTCCATCCTGCTGTACAATCTTCAGGACACCCTTCTGCTCCTCTTTAGAAGTAGGGAGCGAGGGGCCCCCACCATGACTCACACCTGAGCTCACACCAGCAGCCCTTTCCTCGCCTGTATCTACAATGGAAACACCTGCACGGTGTTGTGCGACCTGCACAAGGTCACCATTGTGCCCGTGACATACAGACTCCTCTGCTCTCGTGCCACCCATGTCGTTGTCCCCAACAGCACTCGCACCACCTTCACTACCTCCGGGCCAATGTCGCACTGTCATGTCTATTGCAGTGCCCACTGGCTTGTCCATCCTACTTTGAGCTGTTGGCATCCCTGTTCGTCCCGAGTCGACGTGGACATCTTTGACGACTGCAGGCTGTTCTGTCCTCATCTGGAGAACGACAGCCACAGGTGGCGGTGAGTCCTTCCTATGGTAATCTTCGGTTCCATCTCTGCTACCAGGTGGCTTCCGCCATTCGGTGCTGCCATCACTGAATACGTCTCCACCACCCTCAAGAGGCCTTCCATCGTGCCGGACAATCTGCCAGGTGTCCTTCTTGCGCCCACTACTACAGCCACCATCGCCAGATCTGTCATCTAACGGGTAGCTTTCGTAGCGGACCAGCTGCATCACACCATCCTTGGAATCATCACCACAGGAGCGATCCTTGAGCGCATTGTTGTGATACCCAACATGATGCACTGCGGCAGCAGAAGTATCTGGTCGTGCTACAGTTGGCTGACTACCTGTCACACCCTGCTTTAGATCGACATATACCCCAGTACCAGTGTCTTGTCGGACAAGCTGAATGCTTGCCGGCTTGTCCTGCACGGTCAAGTTCGGTGGCTTCTTATCTTTCGATGGATCATCACGGATAATCCGTGGCCGCCCACGCTTGCGCTTCACACCATCCTCGGGGGGTTTCGGTCTCTTTTGACTGCTCCCTGATGGACCTGTTCCCCCTCCCTCGTCTTTGCGCTTCCTGCCTCTTCTGTTTCGCTGCTGATCCATCGGTCTATACATACCATGGACGGCACCAAGGTAACCTCCACCAATACCTCCCGGGAGACTTCCCGCCATCATAGCCCCTCCACCGACACCTCCTGCAACAACGCCTCCTCCCCTAACAACTCCTCCCACAACTCCCCCTCCAACAGTCGCCACCATGCCCCCACTCCCAACAACTCCACCTCCGGCAGTCCCACCACCCATGCCTCCTGCCGCGACACCTCCCACGACACCTCCCACAACACCGCCAACAGCTCCTGCCTTGACCCCTCCTCCCATGACAGTGACCCCTCCAGCACCTCCACCTCCTACAGCTACACCTCCTCTCACGCCTCCCCCAACAGCTCCCCCTCCTCCAACGCCGCCAACTACAAGTCCTCCAGGAAGAACGCCTCCTGCAAGAACTCCCATTCTTCCAACCATTCCTCCTCCTCCCGGAACAAGTGCTCCACCTCCCATCATTCCTCCTCCCACATGACCTCCAACAACAATCCCCCCTCCGAGGACGACTCCTGCTCCTCGGCCAACCGCTTTTATAATCCCTCCAACAGCCCCTAAGCCAGTGCTTCCTCCTTTCTCTTTGCTCACTGTAGCTTTAACATTACGACGCCCATTCTTTCCTCTTTCCTTCCGCTCCTCGGGAGTGAGCCTGGGACGGCCCCTTTTCCTCTTGACTGGCATGCCATTGTCAATTGGCTGCGTCGTCACACAAGCGAGCACATTATTGGACGAATTGTTGACGCCCTGATCAGCCGTTGTGCTTTTATGCTCAACGCTCCCACTCCTAGCACAAACTACCTCCTGGCCCGGAGCTGAAGGCTTCGGAGCTCCTCCTCCCACTGCCACCGCACTTTTCTCTTCTATAGGGACTATTGCAGTCTCCATCTCTGCACAATCGCTAACACTTCGCTTGATGCCTTCACTTGCACACAACATATTGAGGCTGCTGTTCTGGGTATGGTTAGGCTGGTTGCTGCTGCTATTATTGTTGTTGTTGCTACTATTGTTGTTGCCGTTGTTGTTGTTGTTGTTGTTGTTGGTGGTGGTGGTGGTGGTGATATTGTTGTTGTTATTGTTATTACTATGATGGTGCTCCCTCTCCTCCTTTGTTCCCTGTTGATGCTGTTCCCTGTCCTTCTCTGCAATCACCTGCAATGGCTCGACCACGCGCCCCTCAAAGTGTCCATTGCATACTTGGTGGGATCCCTCAATCCATGCATTCATCCTATGCGGAATCTGGAACATCAATCCCTCCTTTCCACCTCCTACTCCCTCTCCTCCAACTCCAGCGTCAATAGTGTGGCCAGCGACATACAGGTGTTCAGCTGTCATCATATGCCCATGCTGATGATGGTAACCACTTCGGTTACTGATGAGATCTCCCTCCTTAACTCTGTCCTCCACGACCAACTGCCTCTCCTTGTCCTGTTGCGCCCTGTCTTGCAGCTCCTGGAGTCTGTCGCCCCTTCCCTCAGACTCCCGGTTGTTAAATGAAGAGGCACCGCCGATCTCCTCCTGCGACACATCCTTGCCTACTTCCCAGATCCTCTCAATGCGTCCAAAGACGCCTCTCTCTTCGTCAAGGTCGCATCCACCTTCCAGACGCCGCCTCCAGCATCCAGCCTTCTGCAGGTGCTTGCCCGGGCGTGTGGGGAGGCGCCAAGTGCGCTCTTCCTCCTCCCCCTCTTCTTCTTCCTCAAGAAGCTCTTCCTGCAAGGTGTTCACCACCCGTCTGTGGCGCAACCCTACACACTCCTCCTCATCGTCATCATCGTCCTCCTCCTCCTCCTTCTCCTCCTCGTCATCCTCGTCGACATCCTTCCCATCCCAAAACTGCTGTTCTTCTTGGCTCCTTTGCTGCCGGGAATTCCCCTCCGCAGCAACATTTGGCGGGGACGAGGTCCCCACCCCACCACGCTCATCGATGATACCCACGTCCGCAGAGCACTGCCCAGATTCCCGCAACGCTCTCCTTTCCAGAATTTCTGCCACCACCTCCTCCTGAGGGTATGCATCCTCCTCCCATGCAACCGCCTCTTCCATCAGCGCCTCATCTTGTTTCGCCATAAGCCGCAGGTTCATATGCGCAAACAGCATGTCTTCTCTCCTGCGAGGGGGCAGTTTGTTCAGTTTCCCAGCTCTCACATATTCAAACGTTCTCCAGTTGCTTTCGCACCACGTCACACTCGTCGTTTGCCCAAGCAACCTCGTCGCCAGCTTTTGCAGAATCGGCGTGCTATCCCCATAGGACCTCCACCATTCCTCCGGTGTCAGTGTCCTGGTGGCAGCCTGTGCGTGCGGCGATCCGAACAGGCCCTTGTTATCGACAAACTTTAGAAGTTCCCGCTGTACCTCTATGCTACTGTGCATGTCCAGGACGCTGTGATGAAGCCAGTGCCGAAGCCCCGCTCTGACCTCTTCGTCGCGGACGAGAGATGACGATCTCATCTCGGGATCGAGGAAGTGGGCAGCACAATGAAGCGGTGTGTTAAGACGGTTCCATCGCTTCATAATGAGAAGTTCAAGCTCATTCTTCTGGGTGTCGGTCAACATGTTTGACTTTTGAACAGAGTCCACCAGGGCATCCATCCGACCGTACACCTTGCTGATCCAGGGTTCCTCCCCATCAACGAGTCGAATCATGGAGACCACATCTTCCATTGCGGCGACCGCAACCCGAATCTGGGGCCAGAAGTGGCCATCGTCCAAAACCTTCACCCTGACCCACTGCAGCATATCCAGGTCCACATCCGAATTCCCATCGTTTCGACAGCTCTGCACGGATGGCCCACAGCCAGAGGAACCCGAGCCAGAGGCGCCAGAAATGCTACCTCCCAAGATCGCAGCTTTCCACCTAGGACTTGTCACCGCCAGCCTCAGGGATGCTTTCAGCTCCAGCAGACACTGCAGCATCACGAAATGACTCAAAAAGCTGATCCCATCAGGTCTGGCGACCTCCTTTCCTACCCCACACCCCTGGACAAGATCAAGGATCCTCCGATGGCGGAGGAGGAAGCCAACGACCTCGCGCCCCGCGTCAAGCGCCGGCTTGACCCAGGGTAACATGCCAATGTCCTGAAGCAAAAGGTCCAGAGTGTGAGATGTGCACGGCATCCAGTATATCCCTCGATAAGTCTGTTGCACGAGTTTGCCCGCCTTCCTATAACACCTGGCATTATCCGATGCGACCGCAACGACCTTTTCAGGCCCTATTTCCTTTATGGTGTCTTTAAATATCTTTGCCAAGACCCTGACATTCTTTGCCCTGCTTCCTTTCAAACTATGCGATCTGAGGAACATGGTACCGCCCGGCGAGGAGACCAGGAGATCTATATGAGGACTACCCCTCCGATCGGACCATCCACTGCACTGGAGCACACAACCACTGTCCCCCCAAGAGCCTCGAAGCAGGTCGAGTCGGTTCTGCAGCCGCTCTTTCGATTTCTTCAACTGTGAAGTCCTCAGGATATCGTACTCCGGAGGGGAGTAGTTCTTTCCCACCCTCAGGACCATGGAGAACATTCTCTTCCAAGAATCCGTCTTGGTGACAAAGAAAGGAATTCCGTTCGTCAACAGAAATTCCGTCACCGCGGAATTGGCATCTTCCACTGGATCCGCCTTCGGAGGCTCCGGAAGGAGGAAATGCCTTGAGTCTGCAGTGACCAGTCCACCGCTTCCACCAACAATCCCTCCTCCTCCTCCTCCTCCTCCTCCTCCTCCTCCTCCTGCTATACTACCGCCCCCCACACAAGCACCTCCACCAACACCACCAGCACCATCAGCACCTGCTCCGCCACCGACCCCCCAAGATGGCCCCACGCACTGCTGCGCCTGCCCGGCAGATGGAGGGGAAAGCCCCCCCCCCCCTCCTCCGCCTCCTCCGCCAGCCATTGCACTGCTGTCTGACGTTGGTGAACAGCGCATTCCCGCCAAATTCAGCGCCATTAGGAGCGCCTGACGAGAACCTTCCAGAACTTTTTCAAAAGCTTCCTTCCCACCGTCCCCTGGCTTAGGTTTGCACAGCCTCTTGATGAAGTGGTCTCTTGCTCTTGTTGCCGTCCCCTGAAAACCTTCCCGACAGTAGCGGCATTTCATCACCTTGGCGCCTTTCTGTCTGTACTCTAGGATCTCGTAATGCTGCCAAATATTCGGCTTAGGCATCCTAACACTCTCTCTGCAGAGGAAGTAGCCCGCAGAAGAAAGAAAAAGGAAAAAGGGGAGGGCAGGCTAGCAAGCGAGCGAGCGAGCAAACGAGGCGAGCAGGGGAAAGACAGGAGGAGGGTACGACAGATAAATGGGACGGAGGGGAGAGGAGGAGGAGGAGGGGAAGATAAGGAAAGAAACTCTACCCGTCCGGAGTGGATACGAGAAGAAAGATCCAAGAAAGAACTGCGCGGGGTGGTTGGTGAGGAGGTGGAGGAGGAAGTGGGGGAGGCGGAGGAGGAGGAGGAGGAGGAGGAGAAAATCCACGAGAGGCTGCACTACAACCGCTAGATTTGAATCTACACATTCGGCGAGGATAGGGCAAAGAAGACGAAGAGAGGGCAACGAAAGAAAGCACGTCTCCTTCCTGCCGACTGGGTAGGCCACACGTTGAGATAAAAGAAGAGAGAAAATTACGAAATGGGAGGGAGGAAATGGATGCCACGACTGAAGCAGAGACCGAGCAGGGCGCTGTTCTCTAGGTGATGAGCACAAACAACAATGCAGCGCTGAGAGACAACCGACCAATTTAGGATAATGCACGAGCAGGAGGTGGAGGGGACGACGTCCACAACGCACACACAGAGAGAGAGAGAGAGACACGCACAGACAGAGTGACAAAGTTCGATAAGCCGAAGGAGAGATCCCAACGAGACGCAGTCTTTGACGGATACTGTTTTCCTCCACAAGACGACAAGAAAGGGGGGGGGGGGGGGGGGGAACGAAAAAATCAAGAAAAAGAACAAAAGAAAGCCTTATCTGCCCCGGAATCAGTTGAAAACACACCAACCAACAGATGCTGCAAACGGTGTGCCGAATGATCTTGTGTGTGTGTACGTATATTGTCACACTGTGTACATATATGTATATATTGTCACATAATATCAGAGCGCCTAAGCGATGTATATATATTGACGATATATATCATATATATCGTCACAAACAGAACTGCCCGGTAACCGTATGGCTGTGTGCGGTCGAGATGGTGATGAACAACTGCTTCCCACTTGGGGGGTAGGGGGGAAGAACCTACCGGCAACTACAATTAACAATTGCGTCAGGAGCAACGGGACAGAGAGACACGACAGTTCACGTTCCTTAACCCACTACCGCTCTGGGAGCTATGGTGGGGACTGGAGACATTCAACAGTCACGTGGCTATTCTCAAAACTAGCAAAAAACACACAAGTGGCGCAAGTGATAATCGAGAGAGAATCGAGACTGGAGACATTCAGCAGTCACGTGGCTATTCTCAAAAATAGCAAAAAACACACAAGTGGCGCAAGTGATAATCGAGAGAGAATCGAGACAGAAAATCGAGACAGAATCGAGAGAGAACAAAGGGAAAGAAAGAGGAAACTACTACAAACAAACAAGCGAAAAAAAAAGGAACCAAGGGGGGGGGAGGGAGGGGGGAGGGGGATAAGGACGGACGGACGGACGACCGGTCGGAGGACAAGGGCGAGAGATACCCCTAACCTCTCAAGTCACACAGTCGGGATCCCGACGGAGCGGGGGTAAACTGTGTCTGTGAAGCGCCGGCCAGCCGTGTGTTTAGACCAATGTGGGAAGATGGTCTTCAAGAAACGGCTATTATTAAAAAAGTAACTCCAACAGAAAAAGAACACACACCTCCGCAAGAGAGAGAGAGAGAGGGAGGGGGGGAGGGGGGAGGGAGTAAAAGGATGATGCGATGTGTGGTGGGCTGCTACTAGAGAGATGGAGGGGAAGTTTTTTGTACAGGCTGCTGCACCAGAAGCAGCCGCAGACAGAACCGCCCTACTTCCAGTGAATCCAACTGTTTCCAAAAATAGATCCCTTGTCGTTAATGCAATGCCGTCAGATGTGAGCAAGAATTGCGTTCCATCTGTTGATCGAGAGAGGGACAATGGCCCGTATACGTATCGAATTCCGACGACAAGCACGTGTGGCAAGCCAAGAGTAAGCGGTAGTCGCATTCGACCTACCTTATATATATATTGTTATCTATATGGCCGAACCTTTGAGGAGGAGAGAGAGGGACAAGGACGTGAGACGACAGTACTACAAAAGTGTCAATCAAACTCAGATGACAAGCGCTCGCATCATCATCATCATCATCATCATAAGGAGGGAGGGAGGAGAACAGAGAGGATCGTAAATGAGAGGAGAGGAGAGAAGAGCGGAGAGGAGGAAAGGAAACGTTCGTTCCCTTCCCTTGATACCACTGAGGGGGTCAGATCGCGAAAGGTTGACGTCAACGCTAAGAGATCGACCGAACCCGCCGAAGGAAAGGCCTGCCAGAAAGTTCCGGTCGGCGCGGCACAACCACTCCACATGGAGGTTAAAATTCGCTTGACGTCAACCTAAAACAACGAAGGGCGCAAGGACAGGGATACCACGCAAAGAATGTGTGCCTGAGATCGAATCCAGTGAACCGGACAAAAATGCAAGATTTCGCTCGAGTGCGTGCGTGCGTGCGCATGTGTGTGCGCATGTGTGTGTGCGTATTGGTGGGTATATCAGCGCGTGTGTGTGGATCGCTAAAGAGGGAGGGAGTTTGAGTGGGTTTTCCGTGTGTGTTTATCAACGAGAGGCAGAGGGAATCAGAAGCGGAAAGGCCAAGATCAGGCAACGGAATGCTGAAAAAGGTCACTTGGAAGCAAGTGAGACGACGAGGCAGTTGGGAGAGGGGAGCCTTGGGGGAGGGAATTTCAGGGGGGGAGGGAAGCGGGTGGTGGAGGGAAGGCGCGGGAGGGGAGGAGGGGAGGAGGGGAGGGGAGGAAGGGAAGAAGATCACGTGATGGAAGACGAGATCAAGATAATGCACAACGTAGAAGCCGTCAAGACTAGGACCGGAAATGGGATCAGGAGCAGAGAACCTGAACGTGGACCTCTATTGCGATCAGATGAAGAAGCTACTAAATAGTACAAGAAGCACACGCACCAGGACCAGAGCCACTGAAATCGGGATCCGCAACAGATAAGGGTTCAGCCGCATCACTACTCTTCAGGAGGGAGATAAATTTACCGATCAGTTTCTTCAACAAGCGATCTGCTTTAAAAAAAAAAAAAAAACAGCTGCTTCTATCTATATATGTCTAATCCTCCGAGTAGCTTATGCCAGCATACAGTAATCCAATCACACACTCGTTCATCCTCGTCTCTCGCCTAATTAACCAACCAATCAATCTCGCCTAATTAACCAACCAATCAATCTCACCTAATTCGCCAACCAATCAATCTCACATAATTCGCCAACCAATCAATCCCACCAAGCAACCAGGTAATCAAGAAACCTAGCAGTTTAAGATGCTCTGTTGATCTTGTCCAGGACAATTAGTCGCAAAGACGGCGCCAGACCTCTGCACGTAATGGACACAGATGGGATGAATGCAAAGAAAAAAAGGCGCCTCGAGGAGAGAAAGCGATCCCACTCAACAACAAGAAACCAGCAGCTCGGATTGAGAACACGCCACGTGGAACGACGTCACGCGCTGAGACTCCGTATGAATGCGCGACAAGAAGGAGAGCGATAGTCAACCAGAGCGACGGATCAGTGTGAGACCAGAGAGCAAAAGGAGCGCGAGAGGTTCCAAGCAGTTATGTGCTGAGCAGATGCTGATGAAGAAGTGAGCAATTAACTACAAGAGAGAGATAGACACAGAGAGAGAGAGAGAGAGCTGCTACCGATCGAGCAATAAGGACCTCAGAATAGAGCTAAAGGACAGCGAAGGCAACAAGGGGGGCACAGAGAGAGAGAGAGAGAAAGAGAGAGAGAGAGAGAAGAGAAGTAACGACTACGAGGAGAGGAGAAAGAGCGGAGTGTGTTCGTCGGACGAGTACACAAACTGTCTCATTATTACCCGAGACCTGCTATTAATGTCAAACAATGCAGGAGCATCATTTTCCCATCGCCATCGTCAATGGCATGAATCATAATACATCAGCATCTCCATCCACCATGCCTCTTCGACTTCTCAATCTGTTGCTCATCCCAGTTTACAGATATTGTCGACCTCGACTTTCGTTTTGATTTGGCAAATTTTGAATATACCCTCCACCTCGACTTTCGTTCTGCCCTCCAAATTCGCAAAAGCCTCCTCCCCACCTCTGTCTTGTCATCAACGGCTCGTTCCTATTGTTTCTCAGTAACGACTTTCTCAAGGATGTTAAAAAAAGAGAGACTGGTGGCCGCAATCCGCTCAAGAAATGGATGGCTTCTTCGCAGAGGTGCGTGGCATCGACCTTGCCTCTTCTGAACAATGAAGAAAATCACACGAAGGAAGAAAAGAATGGCGCGCGAGCGACGTCCGCCTTAACGCGTGACTGCTAGCTCTTGTCGCGCGCGCGCGCACAAACACACACACACACACTTACTGCTAGCTTCTGGTCGCAGTAAGTGTGTCTAGTTACCGTCGCACGCAAGCAAGCAAGCAAGAACCCTTTACTGTCTGCTGTCGCACACCCGGCCTTCTTTTTCTGCCTTTGCGACGCACTGCTTATATGTATGATGCTTAAGCTCCAACCAGGCTACTGTCGCACACAGACCCGTTGAGCTGGCAAACTTCCCCCGCTCTTCTTCTTCTGCGTGTGTGACGCGCTGCCTATGATGATGCTTAAGCTCCACCCAAGTTACTGTCGCACAGAGACCCTTTAAGCTTGAGTTCCAACCAGGCTACTGTCGCACACAGACCCGTTGCGCTGGCAAACTTCCCCCCTCTTCTTCTTCTTCTGCTGCTGCTGCTGCGTGCAGTAACGCGCTGCCTATGATGCTTAAGCTCCCACCCAGATTACTGTCGCACAGAGACCCTTGAAGCTGGCTGGCTGCAATACGCCACCCTTCGTCTTCTGGTTTGTGACGCGCGCTGCCTATGATGCTCAAGCTCCACCTTGGCTGCTGTCGCACAGAGACCCTTTTGCGGTGACTGCCCCTCTCGCCTATAACGAGTCCTGTTCCCCCCCTTTCTACACCCCTGATTTGCACAAGATTTGCACAAGCTTTAGCCGGCGGTTATTGATGCCGTCACCTGGCACTCCTGACCTTTCAGCTGCTGCTATTAAGTAACAGCTGCTGTCGCACACACAGCCCTTGGCCGTACTGTCAGCTTGTCGCATGCTGAAACTTATGGTTCGGCTATGCTTTTATGCTACTGCCACACACAATTGACTTCTTGATTCTGAGCTTGGAAATTGTCGCACACCTTTTGCTTGTCCTGCACTCGGCTCCCGGCTTGCCAATTCCAACACAGCTTTTCCTTCTTCTCTCTCCTCTTGCTCCTTTCCTTCCAGCTCGGCTGCTGTCCCCTCCGCAAAACTGCAATTGACCGCCGCCGCATACCAATTGTGGCACAGAGCCTTTGTTTCTTTACTCCGAGCGTACTTACCTGTCGGCTCGCCAAAATTGCCGCACACCCTCAGACTTCCGCTCTCGATCCAAAACTGCCCCTCACCGTTCGTCTCGTCACAGCTGTTCTTGGACTGGCCACTGTCGCACACCCCTTGCCGCGCCTTTCATCTCGGCTCGACAAACTTTCGCACATTATCTTCCGCCTCTTTCAGCTCGTATCAGCACGCGCGATACGATTGTCGCACACACCCTCTTCTTCCCCTTCGTCGCTCGCTCGACAGACTGTCGCCCAGTCTTCTCTTAATTTTATTCCTCAACACCGCTCTGCCCTCCACTCGACTGACTCGCTACTGCCGCCCACACAAAATGCCTTCCAGCTGCAGCAAAAACGGAAAACAGTCCCGATGAATTCTTGCGTGTACACATATATATGATATGCATACATGTACGTTTTCGTCGTCGTCTTCGTTGACGTCAACTCAAACATAGCCAACGAAGAAACAGATTTAAGGAAAATAAGGGGAGGACACGTCCAGTTTCTTCTCCTTGCTTGCTTGCTTATTAGATGCAGCACCGCTGTCCCTTTGCATGCCGCCGATGAACCACGTGGTCGGTCTACCAATTGAACGTCGAAACCATGCGGTTTATAATTGTAAGTTGGAAACCACGCGGTCTACCGTTGAGACCAGGTGCGGTCCCTATATATTGAAACCACGTGGTCCGCAATTGAAACCACGTGGTCTGCAATTGAAACCACGTGGTCTGCAATTGAAACACGGTGTGGTCTATAATTGAAACCACGTGGTATGCAATTGAAACACGGTGTGGTGGTCTATAATTGAAACCACGTGGTCCACAATTCGAAACAAGGTACTGTATCGACGACCCTTCAGACAAGGAACAAGAAACAGAAAAATGCAGTTCCGGCGTTCTTTAGTATATGAATGAATGACTCAGCGACAGATCGCACGGCACCCTGCTCGACAGGTACTGAACGTTCGCACCCGAACGAGGAGAAGAGGAGGTGGAGTTGGAGGAGGAGGAGGAGGTGGAGGAGGTGGAGGAGGAGGAGAAGCGCGAGCAGGCACAGTCTCCGACTGACAATCGTGCAAGGTGAAGGGCAGAAAGGCGAGAGAGAGAGAGAGAGAGGATAAAACACCACCTGGTTCGCTCACAGTACTCAACCACACCTGATTCGAAGTACACTGGACCAATTGCCAATTGGTTCAAATGCTCAAAGCACTGAACAACAACTGCCAAGCCTGCTGGAGCCGCCGATAGCCCGGCCCAATTGTTCCCCTACCGGCAACAAGCTGTCCCTTTGCATGCCGCAGACACTGTAGTAGATGTCGGTACTTCTTCGGACGGCAGTCCGAGGCGGTGAAACGCACATATTCGGCCTCGCCTTCTCCTTGGAGGAAGAATAATCAATGTGACGCGGCGATCTGGCGCAGTCCTGTAATCCTGACGACCAGTTTTCTTCCCCGACTACTGTTGCACCCATTCGCCGTGCCATCGAAAAACGGAAAAAGAAGGCCAAATCGATATCATCTTTGTCGTATGTCTGAATCACACAGCAGCAGCAATTGCCCGTCGTCGATGCCTGAAACCAGGAATCCTCGTTACCGTCACGGACCCATTCTATCAGGAAATCGGAATCCACCCCAACTCCGCTGGGGCATGGCACGAGCGCATCGAGCGTCGCACAATGTGTTCCTCCACGAAAGAAGACGCACAGGCGCCGCCGCATAGCGTCCACCGTCGCACGAGTGCGGGCCGCCGATGCCGCCGCCGCCGCCGCCGCACAGCTGGAACCATGTGGTCCAAGGAATGCACCATGTGCAACAGAAGGAAGACCAAGAAGAGGAGGATCAAGTAGACTAGGCGGAAAAAACGATGATGAAGGAGGGAGGAGGAGGAGGAGGAGGAGGAGGAGGAGGAGGAGGAGGAGAAGACTAGCTGCTTCGCTCGAGAAGTTCCCTCCTTTTCTTCTTCTTGCTCTCTTCTCTTATCTTCCTCTTTCCCTCACTCAAAACCACGAGTGCGCTTGTGCGTCCTGTCGTGCGCCCCCCCCCTCCACACGTGGCACCGCTGAGCTGTCCAATTCAAAACAGCTGCGAAGTTTGAATCATGCTCCACGTGTTCCAAATATGGGTCCACGTGTTCCAAATATGGCACTCGACGTCCGCTGGAACGATTGCTACATGGAGGCGAACAGAGCATACACTACTCGAGTCCTTTCGATCCCGGCTCATGACAAAGTCGGGATCCGGATGTGTTCGACAGCCACACCGGCGATGATGGAACAAGCCCTCCCTCCTCATCCCTGCACTCCTTCCGAGCATCTGCATCTTCTACTCGAGCAACTCCTCCCCGTCGACATACTCTCCATCATCATCATCATCTACTATCTCGAGGGTTTGTCATCATGAATTCTGGTTAAGTTCCTCCTGGGTAGTTAGTATCGACGCCCAGCGAGCATCAGATTTAGAGCTAGCTCCTAGTTTGTTGTACAGCCTGTCCCCGACGCCAATTTTCATATCAGTCAGGAGTACAGAGCTGCTTGGCGGTAATGCCGCCGAGCGGCCTTTGCGCATTCAAGAGGCGGCGCTAGAAGCCGTAAAGCAGAACGAGTACCAGATTACAGAGGTGAATCCTGCTCCAAAGGGACACGGGAAGGCAAATGCGGACACGGACTAGCTACAAAAGTAGGGGATGGACAAAACCCCGACAAGGAGCGAGGGCAGATTCTATCACTCCTCTCACAACTCCAGCAGCTTGCGAGCCGCCGGACAACAGTCCCCACCTCAACGACGACTTACTCGACCCTTCTTGTCACTGATACGCTGATGAGGACAAGAAACAAGGAAGGCAACGGCATTCTTCACACGAGAGCGCGCCAAGATCACCTGGTCAGGGAAGTAAAGAGAGAGAACCAGGTAGGGCTGGCGGCAGGTCGGCTAGAACACGACTATTCAATTAGAGATGGTGATGGCGCAGAACGAGGGGCTGGAAGAGACGACGAAGAAGAAAGGTGAGCAGGAAATCGATGAGGCAGCTGCAATTGTCAAGGGCGATCGACGAAGCATGAGCAGCAGAGACAAGCCAGGGGGGAGAGGAATGACGTGGCAAACGCGGAAGAGAGGAGAGAGAGAGAGAGAGAGAAAAAGAGAGAGAGAGAGAGAGAACTGTACAGTGAGAGAAGGTGGAGAGGTGGTAGAGAGACAGGGAAAAGGAGAAGAGAGGGAGGAGAGAAGAGACAGGATAGGAGATTGCCTTGGGCCTCGAAATGGCGCGGTCTCGACGGCCGTAGGCAGTTGAGAGGAAAGAGATTGAGACAGTTCAAGTGGGATGTGCCACGTCCACATCAACGAGCTTGTCTGTCGGCTAGCGAATTGAGAGAGGGAGGTGGTCCTAGGTCTTCCTGTCAACCCCGCCAAACGACATTCCAAATGGGTCGCGACAAGGGGAGAGAAAGGGAGAGAAAGGGAGAGCAGAGAGGAGGGGCGGGGGAGACAGGTCAGCCAACGGACACAAGATGAAACTTGGGGAAAGACTGGTAGAGGATGGCAAGGCGGCGTTGATCGGGATTGCCCGATTCAGCAGCGTTCTCTCCTAGAGAACGCCGGAAGCATTCCAGCGTGCGTGCGCGCGCACGCGCGCACGTCCGCGTCTGCGCTTGCCCACCCGAGCCCGGCCGACGTCAATAAACGCGCAGCGCGCGCTCGGCCGGACAGGCGGGCGTCTCGCCGGCCGTGCGATGCGGACCTGCCCGCGCAGTGCACTCGCTCCGACGGTCCGCGACCGCACACACAGCTCTACTCGCGCGAACCGACGGATCCTTCTGCCGCCTGCGACGTGGGCGACCATCGCGGATCGAACCAGGGATCGGCGAGAGAACGCGCAAAGCGGCACAACCAACGACCGGCGGGGCTCGTAATGGCGGCACAAAAACCACCTACCTTACGCGAAAAAACAGAAACGAAAATGAAAAGTATACGACCAAAAAGAAAGGGGGGAAAAAAGAAAGAAGGATACCGCGCAAAGATCGCGCGGTGAAACGGAGCGCAAAACTTCTGTTAGACGAAAGCGCCAGCGCCAGCGCCAACAGAAACCGACCTGAAACCTGAGTGTATAGTTCTATCAGACATTCGCTAAAGACGGAACCATAGAGGGGGTGCCTCGTGGCGGCGCTTAACTTTCATGCACAGTCGCCGTGGCGTAAATCAGGAGCTCGAAACCGCTCGCGCAATAACGTTACAGCGGATCTAATTTACAAAAAATGAATACAAAAAATGAAACACCCACCCCATGCGGCTGAATGTGTAATTGTTGATAAGTAAGAGCGTGTGAGGTTAGGTATACACCCTTCTAAAAAGGACAAAAACGGAAAGGAAGACAAATTCATCATGGCCTCTGGGGCAAGGTCCCACTTCCATGGATTAGGAGATTTGGGCCGTTGATCTGTCTGTGCAGGTGGGACCTAGCCCCCGAGATAAAGAGCTGAGTGTGTCTTGCTTTTTTTTTCTTTTTCTTTTTGCAAAGTTGGCATATTTTTTCATTATAAAGAGAATTCCTTTCCTTGGAGAGTTTGCCATTTACCCCTTTTTTTTTCTTAAGCTGCCTTCTCCCCATCGGGGGGCAGCCGTATATTTTTGGCTCACCTCAAACATCTTTTAACTGGCGTTCTGCGATGTCATGGAACATATCTTTCTTTTCATAACCTAGCAGTACTCCTAAGGCTATACAGTGGACCCCTGCAAGCATAGCTTTCTACCTCTCTTCGGTGAAGGGAGGTTATCTCTCTCGGTGGAGAGGGGTATTGACATGTTTGCCCCTTTGCCCTAGCGTTTAGGGTGCAGGGTTGGGGCCGCCGGTGGAGGCCCGGCTAACACAAGGACCGAGCATTTGCCAGTAACTTTTGCCTCCCTTTTCACTTTCCCCCACCCCCATCGAGTAACGGTAGTGTCTAAAGCCAACACTCTCCCACACACCACACACAACCCACTCACACACGCACTCACACCCGTGTTGGCTGAAACCTTACTAATACCGACTGGGAGGATCCAGCTGACTATCTCAGTTCGTTGGCACCAAGAGTGCTACAGGCAGCCATGGGGATTGAACCCACGACCTTTTGAATGCCACTTGCGTGCCTAACCAACTGAGCTAGGAGTTTGCCCTTTACCATCACCATCGCTGTGGCCTGTGAGTACATCTTTAAATAAAATAAAATAAAAAGGCGAAAGCCTTCTAGAAATTCCCAGTGGCCTTTGGGCCCTGAGGGGGGTTGGAACAGTTTGCAACCAGCAATAGACGCGGCTCGGTTAGCCCCCCGAATTGCATTGTCGAGCGCATCGCCTCCCGTCTTTTCCGCAAATGGCGAGAGCCCTCCCAGCCATGCCACGCAAGAGTTAAACAAAAACAAACGAGAAACACCTTGGAGATGATGCATAGATAAACCAATGAACTATTGAGACGGGCGCGGTCTCATCCTCCATTCGCCGCTCTAGCCGAGTGCGCCAACTGTACTTCTCGCGGTCCCCTACAACAAGATAGGTTCCCGTGGGACACAACTTACCTTTCCTAAGGGGATGTCACCACCCTTGAGGGTGTATCCCTACCAGAGAGCGCAAGCGGGTAACCGTTACCCATACTCGGCCGTACCCAACTGTAACCGCCAGGTTACGGGTGGGTATGGGTACCCCTTCCGAAGGGGGAGTTGGGTATGGGCAAGCACAAACAAAAGGTGGTGGTTGTTAGGGCGGGTACAGTTGCCCTTTTTTGAGATCATGGGTGGGTAGGGGCAGGTAGGGGTAGGGGTAAAAAAAAAAAAAAAAACAGGTATAGGCGGCCAGAAAAAACAATAGGCGAGTATGGGCAGGTACGGGTGCCCAAAAAAAAAGGGGTGGGTACGGGCGAGTAGAGGTTCCAATCAGGTAACCGTGCTATACCCAATGTGAGTCTTGTAGCTTTGCGAGCTTTGTAGTTTTGCTCAAGTGCGACGCGTTTCTCATATTCCAAATTTATCGCTTTCCCATTATGCAAACATTTTTTCTCGCAAGGGTGATTTTTATATCCCTTCATTTTTTTATTTTTTGTTTTTTTTTAATTTTAGACTATTTTCATATGTGTGTAACCCTGTGAATGTAATATTTATGTGTGTGTGTGTGTGTGTGTGTGTGTGTGTGTGTGTATGTGTGTGTGTGTGTGTGTGTGCATGTGTGTGTGTGTGTGTGTGTATGTGTGTATGTGTGTGTGTGTGTGTGTGTGTGTGTGTATGTGTGTGTGACAAACCAAGGGTATCTGTATTTGCAGAGGCTATACAGATTGCATAGGCCGCTGTAGCACCAGATGCATCCATAGCAACATCAGAGCGATGAGATATAACAATTGTTGCTTTTGCGGCAATAGCTGCAACAACTGCCACATCTCGAAAAACATAAACTAAGATAATAATATTAATAATAATAAAAATTACCATGTCAATCATGTGACGTCTAGGGGGTTGGGAATAGTTGGGGGCAGTTAAGGACACTTAGGGGCGGTAAAAAAAAATAAAAGTTAAGGGCGGTTAGATACAGTTAGGGACAGTTAGGGGCAATTAAGGACAATTAGGAGCGGTTATGGGTGGTTAGGGGAGGGTGGAAGATGAGCATATAATGCATACAATTATGTGTAGATACAGATGGGTACAGGTAAAGAAAACTTGGGTAGGGTAGGGCATGGATGGTTAACAAACGGTGTGGGTTCATGTGGCCATGGGTGGTTTTGAAAAAAATGGTTCATGGGTAGGTATGGTCAGTTACATCCTGAAGAGGTTCACGAAGGGTAGGTAGGGATAAGTTTTTTTTTTTTTTAGCAGGTGGAGATGAGTAAAGGTCCGGCAGGGTAGTTATACAGTGGGTATGGGTGGTTGGTTTTCAAACAGGGTATGGTTAGGTCAGGTACCAGTATTCCTAAAAATCCCAGTTGCGAATTATGATCCCTACCGAGCTATTGACCCACACGCGAAAACTTTTACATGCAATTGCAGAGGTAAGTCAGTCAAGGGGTGTTTGCTCGTTCACCGTAGTATAGGTACACTTAGTTAGAACGTCATCTGAACCCAAAAACCCGAGCGTCATCCGCTCTCTAGAGCGTTGATTTCCTAGGTAAAGAGCGTACGTCAGTTGACTGTAACGGACTCAACCAAGCGTGAAACCCAC